GGCTCGTTTCAGGAATTTCAAGGTCACCGTTGAAGGTCAGTCTCTCAAGGACGACGGAATACGCAAATGTACAGTGAAATAAATTGTACACACATCAGTTTCGCTCTTCTGAAATTATCTCGTACAATTTACACCTTGAAAACTGATGCTTTTCAAGCGAAAGTTAATTTTACGTGACAATGAATTACCAACAACAGTATTTTGAGATTGTTCATCAATATTAAAAATAAACTGCGTGGAAATCGGGATAAAAGGCAAGAAGTTCAAGGTTGCTTCTAGTACAGGAAAGGTGGGTCGATCAGATTAGGCGCTTTTAGTGGATGTAATGTGTTCCAAGCGTATTTGGCAGGAAAATCCATTATGTTGTAATGGAGATCCTTAAAATACGAAGCAAGTCACAGAATTTTCGCTTCTTTGAAGATTAGGAATACCGAGTAGATATTATATTGCAGGTGTCGGTGTTTCAAGCGAGTACAGACAACTATTGAGAAATAGTTTAAACATACTGTGGTTTGCTGGTTTACGACGAGTCTTCAATGGACCGTGCGTCAAGCTCAAATGCTCTAGTGAAATGGAGATGACTAGTAGTCGGATATTCGGATTGCTGTCGAAATGTGGAAGCAGCTACTTAAAAACTAAAATGCCATAATTGTGTGACGGTGCACGATTTTTGTATTTGAAATATTTTAGTTCACTATAAATTTTAAAGACCTGATGATGATTAGGGATATGAAAACAGTTTCTCAGTACTGTGAACAGCTAGAAGTGTCAAATTTAAACATAAACAATCGTATAATGGTTTCAGTGTAAAATTATTAAAAATGCAAACTTTTTTCTTGATATTCGAAGTTTTAACATTTTTCTCTTTCGAAATATGGTAACAATTAGACAAAAAAAATGAAAATAAAGAAACTGAAACGTACGTACACACTTTTCACTCATTGTACACTGCGAACAGAAAATGGCACGTAACTTTGAAAACATGATAACTGTCAATGTTATGTCACATTTGGCATCTAAAATATTTGGTATTTCCGTTTCACGTAGTTAACAAGTGTACAGGATTTTTGGAAAAAGAATCTTCAAACCAGTTTTATTCAGTGACCTAACTTAAAGGTAAATTAACGTTAGTAAGTATATACGTTAAACTACAAAACAGGGAGCCAAGATTTCATTAACGCCGAGGTCAGGATGAATTGTGGAGATAAATTGCCTTTTCAGAAGCTTAATTGCGTTTTATTCTAGGGAAGGAAATGGGAAAAACGATTTCATAATTATAATTGTCTGGACAGAACGAGAACTTGGGTCTCTGTAGAAAGAGAAGAAGCGTGTTTCTTATAGCAGGTGGATAAAAGGACCGCCGGGGGAAGGACTTGAACCCTCAAGGTGATTCACCAGAGCAAAAGCGGGAAAAACTGTTTTGCTAGATCAAATTGTTTAATTATTTACTATTAAATAACGGTCTTATAAAAAATTAATGAAATGAATGAATGAATGATATATTCTTTATTGCACATAAAGATACAGTTAAAATACAATACAATAGCTTAAGTATACTAGTAGTAGTAAGTTAATGTGCAACAACTTCTCCCAGGCAACCTTAGGATAGACATTTCGGATATGCAAAAGGGATGCAACCAAAGAATATCATCATAAGTATACAAAACAATAAGTAATAATAAAAATATATACATACGCGTAGATAGATTATACACACACATACAACTAAAATCATATTAATACATACATAACAATAAATAAATAATAAAACATACGATACACCTAAGGATATTGTCTAAAGAATGTGCTAATTTGTTACACGATAGGCTATTCTTTATCTGATCATATAAAGTCCTGAAAAAAGGCTAAAGTAAAAGTCTAAAACAAGAATTTAAGAATAAAATATGTAACTTTGCAAATAATTTTTATATGAAGATATTTCTCTTAAAGTACAACAGAGAAGTACCTAAATTTACTCAATTCATATTTATTCCAAAATTTGAAAATTGCCCAGCGTTGTCGTTAAACCACACACCGCACCGCCCGCTCCCGTCCGTCGCCCATCGGGCGCTTGTCAATGTCGGATCTGGTAAAATTTTCTTCGTCTGTTCTTATTTTATTCATATTAATTAGTAGCATGCGGCATGCGGGGCGCGAGGGGTGGTCCCCCACACCTCACCTCCTAAAATGAAGGTTCGCGTTGAAATAACTCGCCTTAACTCATAATCTAAAAAAATGCCATTATAGTGTCTCAGTCGATAAAACGGAAAAACAAATTAGTTTCAAAGATTTTAAAGAAATGTCGCTACGATCTTAGACTATGGAAACTAAAGGACAAGTTATGTTGACATATATAAATCAGACGTTATATGTATATGATGCCTTGCCTTGCCTTGCCATCGTTCGGTGTCACCTGTGTGTGCCTAGCTGACCGAGTGAAGGCGAGCGCTAACGCGTATAGAGCTCGTTTGACGTGGCTTGTCAAAACTCGCAGTCGCTTGTGACTACTTAGTCACGTGCGACAACGAATCACTTCAGAGAAGTGTCGATTTTTCTGCACAAATCAAAGGCGCTCGACCAATTAGTCAATCGACATTGTATAATCAGACATTTGCATGCTATTTAATATATGCGAAACATGTTTATCTAACACTGTCTCTTGTTACATCTCCTGTTATACCATGTTTTAAGCAAATAAAACTTTGGTGATAATAATAATTATTTATAATAGGTATAACTACTTTCATTTATTTCCAAAATTAAATGGAAGTATCAAAGATTTACTTAAATCAGTCACTGGTATTAATTCTATACCAATGCATAAATACAAAAAAGGCGTACACTATTTGGAATCTGTTTAAAAATTTCTATTTGAAAAAATGAATCTTGAGGTTGGAAATGTATAGGATTTATATTACAAAGTTTTCTGTATTTTATATACTCTCAAATTACAAATATTATTTTTTTCCCAATTTCCAAATGGAATATTGATCTACTTTAATTAAATGTTTGCATGTCGATAATGACTTATCGATAGATTATGGTACGACACTAAAGAAATCCGCCATTTGTTCGTACAATTTTTGTTTAGGTATGCACGATCATTCCGTAGTTAGGACAGCTATTTTCTTTTATTTGTTTTTTCCATCCTCTAAGGCTACGATGCTCCATATCCAAATGGCGGAAAAAACCAGTTTGACAGTTGTGAAATCTTGAGAACAAGAGGCACAAGAAAAATGATGACAGTTCCTTTTCTCCACCTTTTGGAGGAAGAGAAACTTTAGCACATGTTCGGTAAATAAATCAAAATGTATTGACTAATTTCAATCGTAATGATTTTAAAAAATGTAAAGCTGATAAACAACGGCAAGTTTAGGTACTTCAAAATTCTTATAAGATTTTATCCGCTCTTCCCAGAGTCCAAAATAATTGGCTCAAAATAAAGTATGTTCCACTAAACCCCGTCTGACCTAACTAGTGTTGTATTTTTTAATAACGATTATCTACTAAGACACAACATAAGTAGGTACTTGAAAGGAAAAATAACACATACCTTAGAGTTCATACCTATTGACATAATCGTAAGAATAATAGGCGTAGGCACCCGTTTGCACAGATGGAATCTGTTTAAGAACAGGATTCTTCTTCGTTCCTCATAAAACCTTCTTCAAATATGTTGCTTACCTGTACACGTCGCACCTTTGAAATGAAAGTGAACTAAACAAGTTTTGAAGTTATGACATTTTCATATTATTTAATTCATTACTCTTAAAGTACTAGGCAATCGCCTTCTCAGTCCTAGAAAATAATGATGAAACATTCAGCTTTTTATCCTCAACAATTCTTTGATTATTTTAATATTTTAGAAAAATAAAATATTATTTACAATAATTAGTCGGTTTGAACTGAACTTTTTGAATAACAAGAATTAAGTCTCTTTTATTTTGACAAGCAAAACAAGTTGTCGTTTTAATTGTGAAAATTCTCCAAGTAATAAAGTGAGTTGCGTAATGTAAAAATTCAATGGTGATTTTCGAAACGAAAATGTCTTAATTGCTAGTTCTTTACTTTTTTACCCACGGCGGCGTTTACACGAGGGAATGAAATTTCAAATTTATGAAAGAGATTCATATATACAACCTTTCGAGTCTTAATGAGTCAGTTCCAAAGTAACAACCTATTGAACGATAATTTTTAAAGTTGTTTTATGATATAAACTGAATAAGTGAATTAGGTCTCTTTCATTCTAAAGGTACGACGACATGTTTAACAAAGTCAATGATATAAAAACTGAATAAGTGAATTAGGTCTCTTTCAATCTAAAGGTGCGACGACATGTTTAACAAAGTCATATTTTTTTTTATAAATCACATTTTCCAACAGTATTCTACATGTACAATTCGGGTAACAATATTTCAAGTACCGTAAGTAGTAAAGGTGAAAACGATAGGTTCTACGATAGTATCTGTTGAAGAAAACTCACAAGCGACTAACACATCATAGTAGAAAATGCACATAAACAAAATCTCACAAATCGAGACGTCTGAGGCAAAACACAATAAGTGTGTGAATATGGCGTTCTTAGGGTGCGTACAGATCTAACGCGCGCCTGTTTGCGAAAGGCGTGTGCACTGTACACGTGCAATAAGCAGTTTGCTATTTGTTCCCGTGCCGTTAACGCGTTCTATGCTTGCCTACCTTGCGTGAGATGTGATTACAGTGGCGCACTTAACTGCATGCGTGCAATGCACACGCAGCGCATTCGCGAAGTGTTTGCCAAACTTGTACGCACCCTTAGGTTGTAGAGATTGTTAGAGCTAGAGTTTCAATTTTAGTTCTGTTTGCTAATTTCAGTTAATTTATTAGCCCATTTTATGAAAACTTACACTTCTTACAATCACAATAGTTAACATTAGTCAATTATTTATTCATCCATTTCTTCATGGTTTAAATTCTTTGTATTCTATCGAAACAATAGGTAAGATATCATAAATACTTACATTCTGTAGGCATTCAAAGTCTTCGACATTATATATAGAGGAACGTTGATCTATTGTTCAGAATCCATTTCACTGCACTGACATGTTTATTTTGTTAACTGTTTATTGTATACAACGGCATAACACTTTTAGCACTGGACTATAAAGAAATGGCTTCAAAAGTAATACTGAAGAGGAAAATGGAGTTATTATTGAATTTCTTGACTGAAGAAAACTTAAATTCGTTAGATACTACCTTATCTAACCGCAGACAGGATCATTTATATTTCATAAAATATAAATGATCCTGTCTGCGGCTGACAAGATCGTTACTGTCATACAATAACGTGCCACATCAAATCAGTCCGTTTCGTATAATCAGTCAGTTCCGAATGCGAGAAATGACGGTCGCAAATGTCACCGGGATCATTTCGCACCTCTCACGGAAGAATGGCATAAATAGAGTTACGTCAAAAAGTTTATTGCTCCATTAGATACCTACAGAAAAATATAACAAACATCCTCTCCAATTCTTGTAACTCTAGCGACTAATATTGTAGATAGAGTTGCAAGAATTGGAGAGGATGTGAGTTATATTTTTCTGTAGGTATCTAATGAAGCAATAAACACGTTTGACGTAACTCTACTTATGCCATTCTACCATGATGGGTGCTATTTTATCTGTAGGTGTAAGATATTCGTATTTTCTTTGATTCTAATCGGACTTAGTGCACAAGCGACATCCGCAGTGGGTCAAGAGTTTTCTAGATCTGTATAGTCTCGGATTCGGAACAAATACGAAGAGGATGCAGTGCGCAAACGCGCCAACTCTTTGCCTAAAACCAATTTGCAGTACCCACAACTATACACCAATGAACAACTGCGCATAAATCCACATAGACAAGTCCCTTTCTGAAAATCTAACACCAAGATCGCTCTTGTAATTGACCAAATAACAAAAAGAAAGGGCAACTTTTTCACATCTGTTTCCGTTTCGGATTCCGCAAACAGTACTTTAATCGGAAGTTTGTAAAACGCGATGGATTTCAGGCGGACACCCATATTGCTTAGCGTTTTATAGCAGTTAAGTGCAAACCAAAAACAAGCCCTGTTTGGAACTATTTCGTTGATATCTTTCTTTAAAGTACTAATAAATATTATTTTTACATTTCTGCTTCCGCATCCGCTTCCGTTAAGACTTAGTTTTAACATTTGTTTCCGTTATGACACTTCCGTTCCATCACTAATCTATACCTCGGATTTCAATTTCCGAATTACGTACATTTGAAAATGTTCACACTTCACACACGTCACAATGTGTGAAGACCTCAACTCCCATTGAGTCAGTATGGTGAACTATTGTCAACCCTCTCCTTAGTTTAAACCCAGCAATGGGACATTCAGTGAAATGATGACGTCTTTTTTACAAACACGCCAATGATTTGGTCTCAAAGTAGGAAATACATAGAACTATGGCCTATACAATCTCATTAAACCTCTCCTAATAGTGTTGTAATTTATAGGCGATTACATCGATGCAATCGCTTTTAAATCACTAATGAATTAAACAATCAGATGCAGCCGCGCGTTTGCATCGGTGCTTAAAATCGCGCGTGTCTGTAACGATAGATGATTAGCTACTGACTGCATCGCTACTGTACCGCGTTTGCATCACATTTGCATCGCTGCTAAAAGTCGCCATGTGTCACCGCTCTTATTGTTTTTATAAAATTCACTTAGAACTTAAATCTGTCTCAAAACTACTTTTCTTTGTGGGAAATTCGTGTTTGGTATTTGAATCCTAATCACATTAAAAAGGCGAGTGACACGTATTACATTGTTACACACGAAAAACATCGTGCTAATCCACAGTGTGACATGTTGTAACAGATATCACTACACAGACGCTGCACAAAATAACATTAGTGTTCTTTATATTGTTTTATGGTATTAAGTGACGGAACAAACAAGTCGTGGAATGCTAAGCAATTATCGCAAAGACACCAATTATATTATACTATTGCATGATCCCAAAGTAAAGAATTCCATGTACTACGAGTCCCAGAGCAACGGTGTTCACTCTGCGGTGAGCATCCAGACCAAAATGAATTTATATACATTTAAGTCACGGAAGAAAAAAAACAATGAAAGTGCCTTAAGCCTCGAGTACTATCAGAACCGATGTCGCCAAAACTCACATTCTTAATTTGAAACACTACAAAATCTTGCTATTGATTGGTCGTTGAAAGTTCAATACCGTCAATATCTATTATTACAAGTTACGACGCTTTGATATTATATTGAAATATCAATTAATGTGCTGCCATCTAGCGTTTCATTGGTGAACGATGACGAATTGGAGTTATTAATTTGGTTTTCCAAACAAGAAGCGACCATATTTTAGGGGTATAAGCATTACTTTCGTTTCTTGTAATAAAAAAAAGTATTTCGATAAACAGAAAGCGACCTTGGAATAAAATGTAACGCGAACGATCACAAATGTGGAAAACTTTTCGTTATAATTTTCGCTGTTTAACACTGTATTCTGGAACTTAGAGACGAATTTTGACTACAACTTAACAAGCTCGGGGACTTCGTTAAAACGGCATGAATGATTTTCACTTCTAGTTCTATCTTATGTTACTACGCAAAGTTCGGCCACAGAAAACCTAATACGTTTACCATTAACGTCACGAAATATAATATTAATAACGGTTAAAAAGTCGTTGAAAAACCAAATACAAAGATACGACAACAAGTATATAGAAAAATGCGTGAGGTCCGCTTGTTCGTTCCGTGGCTTAGTTGGCACAGCGTCTGGCACGGTTTGCTAGAAGACGTCGGCTCGAATCCAGCCGGATCGAGGGAATTTTTTCTAAGTGTTCGATCTTTCTATTAATAATTATAATAAACTAGTGGAGTAATATCACACAAAAAATAATTGAATATTGCTCCAAGGGTATCTGTAATTTTTTTTTTAAAAACAGCATTTAATCGCAATCGGTAAGCCTTCACAACATACTGTAGGTACAGCGCGTGCGAGGCATGAGCGCGCGGCTGCCCGCCGCTGTAGGCGTATTTTTGTGTCGTGTGTAGAGTGCCAGATCTTTATTAACTTCTTGCTTTTCAATGGATATTTAATTCAAATTCAGAATACAATAGTTGGCGATGCTACTCGAGCCCGGTTTATAATTGAAAACTGATAGCGTGCTATGTGGACATAATTAGATGAAAACACTACTATGAAGTCATTCAAAGACTCAAATCATCTATCAGGTCATCCACGTGTACTTTCTGGCAACCGAAACAAGTAGGAAAAACATGCGTCTTGCCAATGATTGCTCAACTTGCAGAAAGAGACAAATGTATACAATTACGTAATATTAAAAAGAGATGAATATAGAAAATGCAGAATGAAAATAGAATATGTGCCTACCTACGCACGACGCGTGTCGTTGATCCCTTTGGATCATGAAGTGGTGATTGTCTTTTGTTTGTTAGTTGTTTATATTTTGTGATGTAAACAACGTTGGTGATGTTTAAAGGTGTGAAATTGTTTTGTTATGAGTTTGGCATTGAATTCTATGCTGATATGTTCTCTCATGTTCACAATTCATCTTATTTGTAGAAACACACAGTGACAAAAATAAAATGACTCTTATGGAGCTTAATGGAATCAATCGCATTTCTTGATTGAATCAATCACAACATGGACGCCGCCGGCGTTATATACCGTGTACAATATTTCACTCGTTAGTCATATATTTCAGTCCTTTATAATACTAATTATTTACATCACAAAACAGAGCATGGTATTCAGAAACGACTTGCATAAATTGGTTAACTCTTAATTGAATCAATCACAACATTGATAACGTGCCAGACAACCACACCAATTGTCTAGTTTCAAACTAAGGAATTCCCTTTACTCTAAGTACCAGAGCAACGGAATTCACTCAGGAGTTCTACCCAGAAGACCCAAACCATAATCAATTTAGAAAAGTAAAATTTCCTGAATTGGTCCTACCGGAAATAAAACTCAGTACCTCGCCTACAGTGCAAACCGAAACTTCTTCTTATCGCATCGATATGGCATACACTGAAATGTTTGAATCGTGGTGAATCGGATTTACCAATCGTGTAAGGTACAAGCCAGACGTACAGGAAAAGATAGGCTCCTTTTGTGAGTATGATAATGCCACATGTTTTCATACGTAAAATTTTCTTTTGTAGCAGTAGAGCTCCTTGTGAAAGAGGTCGTACAGGGAAGTATTGCCACCTTACCTATTTCTGGCGTCAAGCAGTAATGTGAGCATTACTGCATTCCAGTTTGGAAGGGTAAGGTGTTGGTGAAATTACAGGCACATGACACTCGTCAACTTGTCTCAGCGTGACGTGCGCAGTGGCAGTGTGCCTTAGATCTGTTTTTTATATATAAAATAAGATGCGCATTTGACCTCCATCTCACCAGATGGAAAGGGACGATGAGATCGAAGATGTAGCATGCTTGATGAAGATGTAGTATTTAGGTGTAATAATACCTATTCACTCTCGCCTTGAAAGGTCCAAGTTATAGCGTTCGGAGAGTAAGTCCGCAGGCAGGTAAGTCATTCCATTCTCTAGCCCCATGGTTGGAAGCTAAACGCTACATGCGAATCCTACGAACGTCCACAATATTGGATCTAAACGTTTGCGATTTATGGACAGGCGTGTCGCTTACCACCAGGCGCACAATTAGTTCGTCCCGCAACTTGGTATTATTAAAAAAAACATTGGCCTACCGAGGTAGCAATTAAGGCCAATTACTTAATTTTTGACATTTCTATGTACCAAGTATTTAAAACCATCCAGTAGATTAACAACAGTTTTAAGGAGTCATTACACGGGGAACCGGCTTGAGCCTACAAAAGCTTTATATCCACGCAATAAGAGCGAAAAACGTTGCGCGTTTCGCACATAAAAGTTTTCAAGCCGGCTTAATGGGATACCGTGTCGATAACTGTGCCCACTCCCTAAAGCAAATTAAAACAAAACCATTTTCTTAATTACACTGAGTTTTACGCGGCTCATATTTTTTCGTCTTTTCTTTTGCATGTTACACTATTAACCGCGAGGTGTCGATGTAAATGCATAAGTATCGATACTACAAGGAAGAAAAGTTTTTATCAGCAATTGATAATTTATCTTG